GATGGTGAATTAATATCCACCATATTAACTCCCATTGCCATCCCTAATCTAAAATTCTATTCAAAACTCATTAAAAAATTAAAAAAAATTTGAAAATATTTTTTATTTAAAATATAAAAATAACATGTGCCAATTTTTCCAAAAAAAAAAAAAAAAACGCTTTTCTGGTCGACCAGTTAGGCCAAATTTCAAAATTCCAAACTTCGCTTGAAACGAGTTTGCAAAAATAAGTGTGGAATTAATTTTTCAAAATTATATCCAAACACCACACTCAGATATAAATGTAAAATCATGATTAGAACTGCCTACCAAACACATGTTTTTCCATTTTCCAAGAAGTTCATCAACCACTCTGCCAATCCACAATATTGTTTGCTGTGTTTATTTCCACCACCAATATAAGCACAACTTTTTCATTTTTTTCTCTAATTTTGACACCAAAAAAAAAACAAAACAAAACAAAAAACAAAACAAAACAAATACTACTTCTCTGCTTTTGATGGGGTGTGCTTGTCTGTTGCTCCATTTAACTACCAAAAATAATCGCTGCCTGCTTATTTCATATTCCAACAATGTTACAAACTCTCAAAAATTCAATCTCTATAATCTCCACTCACTAGTGATTGGTCCAGGAAGGAAAGGGAAAATAAAAAATAAAAAAACAAAATGTTGTAATTGATCCACATCATTTTGAGAGTTATGTCCCCAACTTTGGAGGTCCCAAGCATTTTTGTTCATATTATATTCTACTTTAATTAAACATAGTAAATGTAATCTCACTGTATATATAATCTATATCTTACTATAAATATATTCTACCACATTTTATATCTCTAAATACTATATGACAAATGTTTAAGACTCTTGAAAAGCTCTCAAAATTTGACTCAGATTAGGTGTTATTTTTTTTATTTGTTACACATTCAATTATGTAAGATTCAATTTTATTGTCATATCATTATGAGTAAATTTAGAAATTTAAATTATGAATTTTTAACATTACTCGTGTTACATGTTATAGCGATCCCGGTTGTCCCTTTACTATTCTGTCGTATTCCGGACTCGGTTCCGTGAAGTTGGTAGTGGTATCCATCTTGTTGCCGTCCTTTAATTCAACTTGATTGAGTTTTAGGATGTTTTGAGCAGGGTTGTTACAGGTTGGTTAGGCCTTGGTTTCAATTCCTTGTTGTTCAGTTTTTAGGCGGTCCGCTCGAGCGGGTCTTCTTGCGCTCGAGCGGGGATTGCACACCTCCAGTGTTTTCGGGTTCCTGCAAAACTTCTGCAGATGTGATTTTTACGCTCGAGCGGATTTGTTTACGCTCGAGCGGTAGCGCTCGAGCGGGTTTGGTGGCGCTCGAGCGGGTAGTACTTTCTGGGTATAAGTTCTGGGAGGTGGAAATCTACGCTCGAGCGGACTGGTTTTCGCGCTCGAGCGGAAGTGCTTTATTCTTGTGTCTTGGCGCTCGAGCAAGCATTATTGCGCTCGAGCGTGTTTAGATTTTGTTCTTGACGCTCGATCGTCGTGTTCTCCGCTCGAGCGGGTCATGCGTATATGAGTTATCCGCTGGGTGATTTTAAATCACTTTTCAGGTTTTGTCATCTTCTCCCTTGGGGCTCCGAATTTGAGTTAGGGATATCCTACTCCTCTTTATGAGCTTTGTCTTTAAATTTTTGCATTTTGATATGTTGGGGGTTGTTGGGTAATTTTGAGAGAGTTTGGGCCTTTGTGTAATTTTTTACAAAAGTTGGGGTTTTGGCTATATAAAACCTAGATGCATGTTTGGCATGGAAAAGTGAAATTAATGTTAAGACATTAATGAAAATGGAACCTAAGGGTTGTAATGTAAATTATGAAAAATGCCCTAATTACATTGGTTAATTAATTGGCATGATTAATTGTGAGAAATGAGGAATTGAATTGGGAATGTTGAGATTGGAAATATATGGATTAAAGGGTGTAGTTGGATTATTTATCGCTCACCTAGTTGAAATGTTGATTATATATCCATTGTTGCATTTATTTTCTGTATAGAAATAACTGCTTTGGGCTATCGGTGGAGGATAGTCTTGATTGTTGTTGACAATGCATGATGATTAGGCAAACTGGAACTAATCACTGGAATGCGTCATTGAGTTTGACGGTTGAAAGAATACATTAAATTTATGTATTGTGTGGTGATGTGTATAATTATTGTTTATATGCATTGTGTTGTGTTGGAGGAGATAGGGGATGTACTCCACGGTTTAGGGGAAGATAGGGGATGGACCTCTAAACCGGATGTTGTTGGGAGGAGATAGGGGATGGACTCCATAGATAGAGCTCATATGCTTATCTAGTAATGTGTTGACAGAGCTCATATGCTTGTCATTGGAAGTGTGATAGTGCTCTTATGTATATCTATGGAAGTGATGATATAGCTTGTATGCTTATCTGTTGGTGTGTGATATAGCTAGTATGCTTATCTGTTGGTGTGTGATATAGCTAGTATGCTTATCTGTTGGTGTGTGATATAGCTAGTATGCTTATCTGTTGGTGTGTGATATAGCTAGTATGCTTATCTGTTGGTGTGTGATATAGCTAGTATGCTTATCTGTTGGTGTGTGATATAGCTAGTATGCTTATCTGTTGGTGTGTGATATTGCTAGTATGCTTATCTATTATGAAATGGGAAAGTGTTTAATATGAGTTACTGTCTCATATGGATTGTTTGGCCAGGTTCTGAGCCATGGTTATAAATTGAGAATTGAAAAGAATTGGAAAATGGGTTGTAACATGGACTTGTATGTCATGAAACCGGAAAGTGTGATAAGGGAAAGTATCAGTGTTGGCCATCTATCAACTGCTATTTTTTTTGTCATTGTCCATATTTGGTTTAGTGTATTTCTACTGGGCTGTGGTTCACCCTATATGGGAATATCATTTTCAGGTACAGGTAGCATGCCACCTCCAAGGATGTAGCTTGGGAGGCTAGAGGCAGGCGGACTTTTGTTGTTTTATTTCTTTGATGTATTACATGTTTATTCAAGCCAAGGACTTAATGTATAAATGAGTTAGCACTCTTTTGTTGAAACCAAGTGTTAACTTGGAAAGCTGTAAGCCTTTAGGGCATTTGCTTTTGTTGTTAACATGTAATGTAAGGTTGTGGGACTTTTATATATCAATGCATATTTATTTGATGGGTTTAATGTAGTTATTTTGAGGGCGTTACAACTTGGTATCAGAGCGTACCGGGTTCGAATACTTTGGGTACGTGGGAAGTGATTAGGATCACAATAGGTTTGTCTCGCTTGATTGAGACTTAGATGTAGTATCATATGCTATGTGCTTAATTGATATCATGCTTATGTGACTATGTGGGTATGGGATTTAATTTCTAGGATGTTTGATTGGATCCTTGGGATTCTGGGAGTCTTGTTGGAAAGGCACTTAATCAATGCTGTTTCTAACCGGAACTCTAATAACGCCTCGGGACTGTCATTATCCGGAAATGAAATTCGTAAGTGCTTATGTGTTTATTTGCTTACGTGGAGTGCATTACTGTTGTCCGTGCATTAGGACGTGAGTGTTTAGTTTCGGCACATTTATGAATGTGCTAACGTTCTGCATTACCTTTATTAGGATGTCTGGACGAGGAAGAGGTGCTAGGCGTGGTAGACCTGCGAGGCAGGAAGTACCTTTACCGGATGAGGTTCCGGCAGTGCAGGAGGGAATTGGCCAGGTCAATGTGGCCGAGCCAGCTGGTCAGCAGGCCATGGGTGCCTTGGCTAGAGAGATAGCGGGAGCTTTGGGTATTCTTAGAGCTGGGAATCAGGCAGCTGAGGCAGGGCCTTCTTTCTTGAAGAGGAGGAGGGAGTTGGTCAGGCCAATGTGGCCGAGCCAGCGGGTCAGCAGGCCATGGGTGCCTTGGCCAGAGAGATAGCGGGGGCTTTGGGTATCCTTAGAGTTGGGAATCAGGCAGCTGAGGTAGGGCCTTCTTTCTTGAAGAGGGAGTTTTTCCGGTCTAATTCGGATGAGTTTATCGGGGATCCGAAGGAGCCACTGAAGGCTGATGAGTGGCTTAAGCAAATGAGTAAGACGTTCGAGATGCTTGGCATCGAGGACGGAGCACTGAAAGTGACCTTGGCATCCTTCCAGCTGAAGGGAGATGCCGGTCAATGGTGGAAGTACGAGAAGGCTCGTGTTGGTGGTACATGGGAGGCGTTCGTGAATGCTTTTCAGGAGAGGTTTTTGTCTGCAGCAGCTAGGGAGAAGCTGAGGGACCAGTTTAGCCGGCTTAAACAGCAGGGCTTGTCAGTGGCCGAGTTTGAGGCTACTTTTACCAGTCTGTCCAAGTTTGCACCTGAACTGGTGGCGTCTGAGGAACGCCGTTGCTATGAGTTTGAGCGGAAGTTGAGGCGGGGCCTCAAGTTGAGAGTTGGTGGGTCTTACATCCGAGAGTATAGACACCTGGTAGATGCTGCTGCTCATATGGAAATTATGATACAGGAAGAGGAGGAAGAGCAGAGGGGCTCCAAGAGGGGCCAAGATGGCCAGGGTGATGGCAGGAGGCAAAGGGGTTATAACCCTCAGCAGCCTCAGGGTGCAGTCTCTAGATCGACCTTTCCAGTGCCGAGTGCAGGCTCGGGGAGAGGCAATCAGGGGGAGTTTGCTTGTTACAAATGTGGCCAGCTGAGTCACAAGGTTTCAGTTTGCCTGCAGAAGGGTGGGGTTCAGAGAGCTGCTTCTTCTTCAGCTAGACTGCAGAGTCAGAGTTTGGGCAGGGGGCAGCCCTTGTCTTGTTATCAGTGTGGACAGCCTGGGCACCTGAAGAGGTTTTGCCCGCAGTTGAGTGCCACGTCGGGAGCGTCTGGTTCCAGGCAGACGCAGAGTTTTCAGCCAGCTCAGTCTGTGCAGGCCTCGAGGGCCAATCCGGGGGCTTCGTCGTCCCAGTCTGTGCAGCAGCCTTTTGCTCCTAGAGGTGAGCAGGTAGACCAGGGGCCTACGTGGCGCGTGTATGCTGTTACCACGCGGGATTTAGTACCAGCTCCATCGGTAGTGAGCAGTTCCATTTTTTTAGTGCGAGCCTTAGGTCTTTTAATTTACGCATAATCACATACCCTGCCCAGCCGGATATAGATGAATCCTCCCATGCTTTTTTCACCAACTTACGGAATTGTGGGTGTAAGGACCAGGCATTGATGAACCTAAATGGCCTAGGACCCCAATCCCTACCATCCTCCATAAGCAACAAGGGGCAATGATCTGAGATTGTTCTCTCCAAACCCCACAATTTGAGTTTAAACCTCTCCACCCATTCCGAGGCCATGAGTACCCTATCTATCCTACTCCACCTTTCACCATCATTGGAGTTGCACCATGTAAATTGTCGACCCATCATAGGAGGATCTGTGAGTTCCATAGTCTCAATGAACTGATTGAAGTCCATCATTCCTTTATCTCTTCGAGAACAACCTCTCCTTTCCCCTAGGTGCCTTATTTCGTTAAAATCTCCAGCAAGACACCATGGATTATTAAAATCAGCCCTCAACTTTAACATAACTTCCCAGAACTTTCCCCTCTTGGACACATCATTCGGTGCATATATGTTTACAAATACACAGTCAAAATCAGGTGAAAAAGTACCTGAGAAGAGAATGCAATTCCTCGTACAACAGCACTGAGTTAACTTGAAGACATTTGTTTTCCAAATGCATAACAAACCTCCCGCCGCACCGTCAGAATCAACCACCATGAAATCCATATCATCCCCAGGCCATAATGACTTCGCAAACTGTGCAGAAATATCTGATTGTTTTGTTTCTTGGAAAAAGACCATATCAACTCCTTTTGTCTTAAGGAGTAGTTTGATCTGCCTTCTTTTTTCTACTCTGCCCAGACCTCTAACATTCCATACAATAAGCTTCATTAGGAAACTTGATGAAACACCTTTAAACACCTATCGTGTGCAGTTAATCTTGCACCCCAGGCTCCTTCTGAACCTCAGCCTTCATCTGTGTAGCTTTAGCTCTATCATTAACTTCCATGGTGACTAGTTTTTTAATGACTTCCTTCTCCTTCCTTCCGAAGCAGATTCCTAGGGCTTTGCCTAGCTGCACTGTTGCTTCTGCCTCCCCTTGTGGTGATTTTGCCTTATATTTACCTTTACCATTCGAGTCTGATTTTAAAGATGCTCCAGCTGTAGCTCTGAACAGCGCCCCTCTACTCCAGCTTCCCATAACCACTGGTCCACTTTGTCTACTGCACCGACCTCTACTTTCTTTCCTTCCGTGCTCAACTACCCTTCTTTGTGACGCTGAGCCCCCGTTTCTTATGCTTCCATGGATGATCTGCAGTGACTTTCCTTTACCTCCATTTGGTTTGACAAGTTTAGAAGTGGGCTGGACACAATATGACCCACTGCCCTGAATACTTGAAGTTGATGTCCTACAATCATGAGTTTGTGAATCTATAGCAATGTGGCCCAACCCATCTTGGCCCAACCCAATCCTATATGGTCTGACAGACTCCCTTTCCATTTGAACCCCATTCAAAACAACTGCCAATTCAATCCCCTCAAGTTGAGGCCCATTTCCACTTAAACTTTCCATGAGACCGTTGGCTTTATCTTTAAGCTCCTCCTTCTCTCTATCATTAATGTTGAGATGATGGTTTTTCAGAGTCCCAGCCGCAAGAGCAGCGCATGCTTGGTCTGCAAATTGACTTCCCAAACCCACCTCACACGTTTCCTCTACTACCGAGACAGAGTAATCATTCGGACTAGAGGTGATTATATCATCCATGTTGGTTGCCAACTCAATCCGTTGGTTATTATCCACCTCATCCGCCTTAACAATTTCCTTTTGTCCTATGGCATCCACCTCAGCTTCTTCTTTCCCTGGGAAATCACCATAGCTGCTGCACTGTTTCGCCATACCTTGGTTGCTCCATTGGTCAGTCCTCCCCTGATATGAGGTAGCGAAACACTGTTCCCCAATGGTTTTAACCACCACAACTTGTTCTTCACATACTCTAATTGGATAAGCATTCTTTCATCCATCTAATCCACTTATCTTGGAAGCCAAACTTAGACATGAAATCCAACAGACAGCCCCAATTAACTGTGTCATAAGCTTTTTCAAAATCCAGTTTAAGAATTATCCCCTTCTTCTTTCTTTTCTTCCACCAATCAATTATCTCATTTGAGATCAACACCCCATCCAAAATGTTCCTACCACCTATGAAGGCATATTGGGCTTCACCTATAATTTGAGATAAAACTTTCTTAAGTCTATTAGCAAGAACTTTAGATAGAATTTTATAAAGAGATATTTGTAATAACCATCAAATTATCCAGCCAAATGATAATTTAATAAGAATATGATTTAATTAAATTATTGCTTATGATGTTTGGTTTGAATGCTTAGCATAAATACCTTCTTTTTTTTTTTTCTAGCAAATTATTGATCTCACATGTGGTTTATGAGGGGATGATTGAAAAATCTAGCTGCCCAATGCCAAGTAATTTGATCATTTATTATATTCCGAAGTTTCAAATTCAGCGCTGGTTTGGCTATCATTTTGAAACTAAAAAAACACAAAATGACAAAATAGGCTAAATAAGCTAATAAGACAAACTATCACATCCAATACATAATTATTACATTTTTTCTCACAAAAGTCAAAAAATCAAAAAATTCAAACCAAACAAGGTTAAAAAAAACCAAACTAAAAAAGTCCCAATACAACACAAAAAAATTGACTATATTAACCAATGCCAAACAAACTTTCAATAATGTTTTACAACCTCTTAATAATATATTGAGAGAGCTCAAAAAATAAAATAAAAATGGAAACAGTCTACTGCTCATGTAATCATGAGATTGAGCGTGCTTGAAACCAACTGCTGATAGAGATAGAAAAGGTTAGCGGAAGCCAAACAAAACTGACATTGCAATTCTTTATATCAAATGATTAAGTTGCAGAAACTTTTATAATATGGTTTTTTGAGACCCTTTTGTGGCATCTCCCATTGGTAGATCACCACCATTTGGTTTCCCTCTGGTATGTATTCAAACTCTCTTCATGTTCTTCTATTTGTTCCTCTGCTCCGTCTTATCAGTTTCACTGATGGGTTCTCAATTCAATTTTGTATACAACTAAACTCACTGATTATAAGGAAACGTTTGAAGATGATGATTCTTATTTAGGTATGCTTCTAATGAGTAATCTTAGGAGAGAGAATTTCAGATCTTTCTTTTTCTGCAAATGGTCTTGATCATATTTTGGGCTTCTTTTGTTCTTCTTCATGCCATAATAATTGGTGGGTTTTTGTGTATGATTTCTATAATGAAGAACTGACACCCATTGGATCTATAGCGATCCCGGGTTTACCCTTGTTGAACAGTGATCCGGACATGTGTCCGTGGATGTTGGTAGTTGTTTATTATCTTGTTTGCATCCTTTTCTTCGTATTGAGTTATAGGATGTGTTGGGCATGTTTGTTTCAGGTTGGTTGTGTTTGGGAGCCTAGTGTTGCTGCCCAGATTTTTGAACCTTCGCTCGAGCGAGGAGTTGGTCGCTTGAGCGAGAGTTGAGTTCGTGTCTGGTGGGTCGAGCCAGAGTGGCTTCGCTCGAGCGAGCAATGGCGTCTAGTTCTGGACCTGAGAGTTGTATTTCTTGGCTCGAGCGAGCTTTTCTTGGCTCGAGCGGTCTGGTTTGTTCTTCGCTCGAGCGAGAGGTCTGTCGCTCGAGCGTGCTTCTGGTTGCAGACCTGAGGGTTTGAGTTGTTGGCTCGAGCGAGCATTCTTTCGCTCGAGCGCACTTTTGAGTTTTTGGCTCGAGCGAGGACTCACTACAACAAAAAGCAATTTTTGCGACGTTTTTTAGCAACAAAATTGAATTTGGTTGCCAATTGTATTTTTTTGGCGACAATATACGTGTTGGTCGCCAAAAAATACATCATTAGCAACAAATATCTCAATTCGTCGCGAAAAAATGGTTGGCGCCAATTTAATTTTTTGCGCCGGAGCGCTAAAAAGTTTTGGCGACGAAATTAATATGTGGCGACGAAACTGTTTGTCGCCAATTTGCGCTTTTTGGCGACAGAATTAAACTAGTCGCTGAAAAGGTGAGTGATATTTATGGCAACAAAATGATTTTCGTCGCCAATAAATTTATTGTCAAAACGACGTCGTTTTGAATCTGTCTTTTTTTTTTTTTTTTTTTCACCCATATTTTCTATTTATCAAATTTCTATCCAAATCAATGATTCAAACACAACCTAAAAATTGGACTTTGAAGTGATTTATGTGGGTTTTTCTTTTGGTGGGGGGCTTTGCAAAGTGTTTAGATACAGCTATAAAAAAAATAAAAAATAATAATAATTATAAAAAAGAGATAGTGAAATCTGGTTTGAGTTTGGTAGTTTGATCATTTGTTGAACCAATGTTTTGTGCTAGGCATTAAGCTTTGATTTTTGTGAATATTTTGAAATTTTGATGATTTCAGAGACATTAGAGTAATTATAGGTGATCTTGAGTAATTGTTTTTTGGTGTACATTTTGTAAATGGTTTTTTCACACCCACCACGTGTTTGTGTGTTGGTTTGAAAGAGACAAAAAGTTGCAGTGGACTAGAATTTGTATGAGCAATTTCTTTGACTATGTGACTAATTAGAGTCATTTTCATTGTTTTCTGTTTTTATATTTTCTGGGTTGTGGATGTGAACTAGAATTTGAATTTTTGTACTGGATTCTCGGCTTTTTTTTGGTTCTTTTGTTGTATTTAATGGTAATATGCACTATATGTTTTTGGATGAGATATGAAGAATACTTATTTTATTTATCCACTTGAGCTGATGCATGAAAAAGTTGTGAATCCACTTCTTTTGCTATTGACATTAGAAATTCTGAGTGTGTTTGTGAGTTCCCTTAATAAACATGATAAATTAGAAGTCGATTGGGCGGGTTATACTTGAATATCATTCTCTAATTAAGCCGGACATATAGATCTCCTTTTCCCATGTTGAGATAGCAGTTAGGGGATTATCACTACAACAAAAAACACATTTTATAACATTTTTTTATAACGTTCTTTTGAAAATGCTATAAAAAGTGATCCATTTGGGGCATTTTGTAATAAAATAGCATCTGGTCATAATGAAGCGGCACAAACAGGTAAGTTTTCTCTCCCTCTTCTTCGTCTCTCTTTCCCTCTCCCTCTCATTCTCCCTCTCCCTCTCACTCTCACTCACTCACACTGTGAGAGTTTCGGACTGATATTGTGATTTTCGGGATTGATTTATTCTAATTTTTGGATTGATTTTGAAACTAATTTTTGGGACTGGTATGTTCGGAATTTTTGAACTGATTTTTGTAAGAAACAAAATCTAGATTTTAATTCTAGGACTACTTCTTACTCTGCAATTCTGTGAAGCTTCATCATTTTCAGTGTTTAGTTGTTTTAAAGGTAATGTTCTCTCTCCCTTATGACTTCATCAATTATTATATGCATATATTGATTATAGTTTCTATTTTTTTTTTGATATGAAACCCTCTAAATTAATCTCAAGTATAGCAGAAAGAGAGAATTTTGGGAACGAATTCTAAGTATTATTTCTCTAATTTTTTTTATAGTGATTGATACATGCATGTTTTTTGTGTATAATTTATGGGCTGAATTGATTTTGCTTGTGCATGTATATATATATATATATGTGTGTGTGTGTGTGTGTGTGGATTAGGTTTTGATTTTGTTGATTGTATGGATTGGGTTTTGATTTTGTTTATTGTAACGATGCTCGTGGAGACCCCAAAGCGTGGTGACGCAGTCCCCAAAACCATCCACCACCGTTGCTAAGAACCTTTGTCTCTCTGCTCTGTTTTGTCCTTTGTCTGTTGCCTATTGTTTTGCTCTTGTGTGCTTATTTAGATGGCTCTTGGGTTTATCTTCTGGTGCATTTTATGGGGCTTGGTTGGACTCATATATGTAGGCTGCTATGTTAATTTATTTGGGTGGGTAATGGGTGTTTTTCTTGTGTATTTTGTTTGGTCCTAGATGTTTTTTTATTGTTAATCATGGTGTTTGCAACTTGCATATATAATAAATAGCAAGTCAAATAAATAAATACATAAATAAATAAATAAAATACAATATTTGTTATATATTGTATGTAATTAAAATGGTAAGAGTCTACTTTATCAAATTTATAGCCTTAAGTTCAAGTCCCACCCTTTTCTCTATTGTTTTTCTTTTTATTTTTGGGAATAGAAAATTGTGTGTTGGTTTGAAAGAGACAAAAAGTTGCAGTGGACTAGAATTTGTATGAGCAATTTCTTTGACTATGTGACTAATTAGAGTCATTTTCATTGTTTTCTGTTTTTATATTTTCTGGGTTGTGGATGTGAACTAGAATTTGAATTTTTGTACTGGATTCTCGGCTTTTTTTTGGTTCTTTTGTTGTATTTAATGGTAATATGCACTATATGTTTTCGGATGAGATATGAAGAATACTTATTTTATTTATCCACTTGAGCTGATGCATGAAAAAGTTGTGAATCCACTTCTTTTGCTATTAACATTAGGGGATTATATTCTGATTCACATTAATTTAGAAGTGTTACGCAGCCTGCTTGTATATGAAACTTTATGTTTTGTGATTATTCAGTGGTTGAAGTGTCACTGGCAATTATTTGAGACAAATTTGATGCTAATGTTACCAAATAATTACATTCTAGTTGTGTCATCATAAGGGGGAAAAATATAATGCTAGGCTAGACCGGTTGTCTTTCCTTGTATTTAGTTGATGGTGTTATAGTCTAATACCAACATGACAGATGCCTACTGGTTTGCGCTCATATAATCATGCTCTTAAATTTTGCAATGAATTTAGTACTTTAAGAAAGGGAGATATTTCAAGGAATGAACAGAAGTCCAGGGTGTTGAGGTATTATTGAAATACTTAAATGCTTTTGCAAACTTGATACATATGATACATGTTTTGCATCGCAAGTCAGTCATCTTATTTATATATTATTTTTTGAAAAGTACTAATCAATCAGGTTAAATTTATAATAAAGTTACACTGTGGACCCAAATAAGTTCAGATAACATGGACATTATGATTTTCCCCTGATATGCTATGAACGACATTGTTACATGTTGCAGCTGATATATTTCATTTTATTGAATTACAGGCTGGTTCAATTCATTGACTCTTATGATCCGCCATTGAAAGGATTACATGAAGACTTGAATTTTGTCAGCCCTCGTATTGGAGAGGTTATATGTCTTTCCTCTTTCTGAAATAATCTCATAAAAAATTCAATTTTCTTCTAATGAAAAAATTGGCTTGGTCTTTTGCTCAATTGTTGGATTCATAATATACAGATTTTCTTTCAGGATCTTTTCACTATGAGCTTTATTAGTAGTTTGGGGTTTTCTGTACTCTTTTGTTTAGTTTCTTTCCGGTCATGGTATTTATTATTGTTTGCAGGTTACTGTTTGACTTTGTCTTAGTTAGAATGATGTGAATAAATTTGAACATATATACAGTTGCTGTGATAAAGGTGGAAGATCCCATGTCCTGGAATCATGTATGTGCCTGCAAGAAACAATGAAATGGACTTATTTACATATGTGACTATTATAGTTGCTTCTTGCTTGCCATTGTTATCTTTTAGTTTTTAGTTTTTTCTTCCAAAAGCGTTAATTTCAACAGTTCTTCACAATTATAGAGAACGTTCTGTACTTTCTTTGTTTGTGATCCAAAGCCCCTTCCTGGGCATCTTGTGGACATCATTTCTCATGGAAAGTGAAGAAAAAGAAGAAGAAGAACATTCAATTCATTGTATGTCCATTAAATTCATTGTGTGCAAGAATGATGAACATGATTTATTGACGGTAATGCATTAAATTCTCTAAGAAATTCTGCATGTCCAGAATTCATAAGTGAAGATAATTTTAATTGCTAGTCATCATTACCAGCATCATTGGTATATTGAATGTTGTAGTTGTTTCTTACATGTCTTCCATATTACTTGTTTTCCATCGTCAAGTGCAATTTAAGCAATAGAATTGCATCCTTTGGAATTTCATAAAATTGTTGTGGCCTTTGCTTTCAGAAAATGGACTTCCACCATTAGAGAACAAGAGAAGGACCGGTTAACTGCTGTGAGTATTTTATTTATGGACTTTTAAGTTTAAAATGGACTCTCTTTCAAAATACAGTGCCTCACTTTTCTTCTGATATTGCATAGATTGTGGAAGCTTTATCCACCAGTTATCTGGGTCCTGACTATTCCCAGGTACTTTGTACTATAGCTATTTGGTTCATCTGTTACCCTTAGGTCATAGAGGTTCAAGTGGACACTGATCAATTTGGTATACTGATTTTGCAGGCAAGAGAATTTGGACCGATTGAACCCAAGAAAAAAAAAAAAAAGGTTATGTGATTTAACTCCAATTTAACTCTGTTTGGATATGTAAATTTGGATTGTAAATCAAATTAAAATTTATAGATTTAAATTGATCTCAAGTTATGGGAACTTAATTAATATTCAAAACTCTCTTTGTAATGAGTTAAACTGATTTTACATGAGCAATTATGGACCTTTTATTAGATATTAGTTAACAGAAGCAACAAGCATTCGGATGGACACATCTACACCCAATCTGCTGCTGCAAACTGCTATAAACTGTAGAACTGAGAACTAGCAGCCAACTCTTATATACAAGCTCAACCAAGAAATGAGAAAATAGAACTGCAAACTGACCTCTCCCTCTTACAATATCCATAATTTAGAAAGTCAGTTTGTATGTTTTCTTAATATAGAAGGTCAAAAGGATCCTTAACAATAGTTTAAGGGATCACTGTGTAAATACCCTTCTTCTTTTTTTTGGGTCCAAAAGTTGAAAGAACCAGGGTTCAAAAACGTGCACTTAAAAAAAATATAATCTTCTGAATTTTTCTTGGTAAGATTTTTTCTTTTTAAACTGTATAGTGATCAAGTACACCAACCATATAACCGTTAGCGTCCCACCATGACTATCGTTGAAACACTTGAGCCAAAAAGTTCATAATACCACTTGTTATGCCACTACACCCTACTAGTCGAAGAAACTCATTAGCCCACACCAAAACAAATATACACATATACGATAATTCTATACCATATGTATATATATATATATATACTGAAAACTGATAAGAATATACAGCCTACACAGCAGTAGCCGAAGTCACAGCTTATCCTGCTACAGTCTAAGACATCAGTGCCACCACCATATCAGCAGCACTCATGCCCATCTCACAGCTGCAGCTTCAAATCTAGCTCAGCTTCTGTATAGCTGCCTATTGCTGTGTACAGAGGTGTCACACAGGGGAGGTTAACTTCAGGCTGCTGTTTTGTGCTGCTGTTTTGTACTGCTGTTGCTGCTAGTGGAACTGGTGCTGGTTTGTTGTTTTTTTATGTTTAGTAGAGAAAGAACAGCTATAGTTACAGAGAAGAAAGTTGGACTAGGAGGGTAGAAGATATGTAAAGACCTGCATTTGCAATCTGCCATAGGCTGTAGACTAGAGAAAAGTAGGATAGCAGCCAACTTTTCTATGCAGGCCTCAACCTAGAACCAACCTGGATACACCTCAAAACAGCACATAGCTAGCCAATGAGACTTCAATACCCTGGATATGGAGAAAAGGAGACCATAATGAAGAGGGCAGATCAACCTGCAACTTCAACCCTCACAGCAAGAAACAACAAATATACAGAGACTTTTAGAGCTCACTTTACTCAACCCACAACTCACAAAATACATTCTACCTAATTTGAAGCCTCACCAACTCAACCCACCATCCCTAAGCTTTTTGTGCAATGTGCTATCACTGCAGTGCAGTGCTCCACTGATTGAATTGTTTAAATGGATAAATCATTTTCAGCTAGTTCAGTCCAGTGACATTTTTTTCTCTGTAAATCATCTTGCTGCCAAGACAATTTTTTATGACACTGAATTCCCTTGGTGTGTGTGTGTGTGAGAACTCACATGCACATTTAAACAAAATTGTTGGTGTATTATCTGTATTAAGTAGTTGTAGATCTGCCATGTTTCTTACATACACATGCCTTTTCAATTTAGTCCTAGTGCTTTTATTTATTTATTTATTTTTTGTAGGTTGGTGCTGAGAGATTTGATAAAGAATATGCATATGGCATACAGCACAACTACGGAAAAGAAGGAAAGAGAATGGTAAGGAGTCTCCTTAGCATGATTGCCAATTATCTTATCGTTATAAGTGAACAAATCATAAAACCTATTTGGCATTTTTTTAAATATTCAAGTTTGTTTTTTTTGTTTTTTTGTTTTTTTCTGTTGGCATTTGTTAGTGTAGAACTGCAATAATTTTTCATTTCAAGTTTAATCAATCAATTTTTATATATCTATATGCATATTAACTCTTTTCTTTCATTCTCGCGATGCACTGGTGTATCGCTAGTAGTTCTAATATTCAAGTGCTTTGTGCAGTTTTGTGACCCTTTTGAAACATTTTGTTTATGTTAAGCCTTGACTTTTTCTCTATAGCAGCAATTATAACTACCTGCATGCTTCATTTTTAAGGAATCTTGGTAAAGTAATATGATAAGTTCTACAATACAAGATCCTATGGCCTAACAACAAAGTAAGGGTTGCAGGTCACTGGAATTGGCGTTTTGCATTCTTTGTGGAGGCAATTGTGATGGTTCCATTTGCTATTCTAGGTTTTGTTATAAAACCTTTACAGTTGAAAGGTATATGTTGTGTTAGTTTTAATTTTTTTTTTATGTAATCTATTACCATTTCCTAGCTATTCTTAACAACTTGTGGATACATGTTTTTACCCTGCTGGATCAAAAAAAGCATTGACTGGTACAGAGATAGCTGTCATAGAACTTAAAGGTGTGACACGTTATGATTACTGTGCATGGGATCTTTTCAGTATAATTGCACTTTTTTCTTCTCTCTTTTCAGTTTACTACATCACTATTATGTAAGAACCAATGTGCAAAAGCCAAGATAATGGGTGCTATTGAGAACATCTACAGTAATCCAATATACATCAAGCACCTGTCACTGAATAGCTTTGACAATCTTGTTCCCACAAAATAATGCCTCAATTTGCCCAGTTTAAATATTTTTATTGATTTCATTTGAATCCATAATAATCAACTTGATTTGAAGAGATTGAGAAGTTTATGAGGAAGACCAAGGATCAAGCAGGCATGCAGGTTGATGAAAACGATTATTCATCAGAGGAATCTTATTGACAAACACTTTTGTAAGTATATTTTTCATAATTTACTTTTCAAATCACTACAAGCATTTCATTTAATATGTTTGGTTGTGTTGAACAAACGGGACCTCGATTGGATCTACGGTTAGAAAATTAGAAGGAAAATTGTAATACACAAAACTTAAAAGGCTCGTTCAGGAGCCGAAATTGCGAAATGACAACCGAAACCACCAAAACTTGTCACGGATAGCTTGTTCAAACCTAAATAGACTTGTAGGAACAAACGGGACCTTGATTGGATTTCTGGTTAGAAAATTAGAAAGAAAAATGTAAAACACAAGACTTAAAAGGCCCGTTCAGAGGCCAAAATTGCAAAATGACCACTAAAACCACCGAAACTTGGCACGGGTAGCTTGTTCAAGCCTAAATAGAGTTGTATGAGCAAATAGCACCCGATTGGACTTCCTGTTACAAAATTAAAATCAAAATTGTGAAGTTCATATCGAGTTTTTTTTTTTTTTTTGTCAATCTAATATTGTTTTTTCTTTTTTCATGTGGCAGATTAGCAATGGTGGAAAATAGTTTGGGCTGCATCAGAAGATTTGATTTTGTGTTTTTGGAAATATTTTGACATAGGATTTTGGTAAATTATTTATGGATTAAATGTTTAGCATCAAAATATTTGGTGTTGTGTTTTTGCAAATATTTTGATATAGGATTTTAGTAAATGACTTGTTGGTTAGATGTTTAACATTAAAATATTTGGTTGTAATTTTGAAAATATTTTGACATAGGATTTGGTAATTTATTTATGGGTTTGATATTAGTAGTTTGTAAGTACTTTGGTATGCATGTTTTAGATTGTCAGAGAATTATAATTATGTTTATTGGGATTTTTCATAGTTATTAATTTTGAATTAGTATGAATGTCTTGCACAGGTGTATTATTATTTACATTACATTTGTGTATATATTGTGCACAGGAAAATAGGTGTTTTGGATTATTTTGAACAGGAAAATTATTAAAATAAAAAATTTGTGTAGTGAATTTTTAGTAACAGGTGGTGTTTTTGTCGTCGTTAATATATTTGGCGACAACATATTGTTTTTGTCGCTAAAAGTTGGTGATTATTCCAGGAACTTTTAGCAACCAAAACTTACTCGTCACTAAAAACGTGATTTTTAGGGACCAAATTAATTTTGTCGTTAAATAGTACTTTTGGCGACGCATTTATTTGTCGCTAAAAGTACATAGCTTATCCAAATTTTAACCTTTTAGCAACAAATTATAATTTTATAGCGACAAAATATATGATTTTTGGCGACCAATTTTGCTTGTCGCTAAATGTCTACATACGGTGACAACTTCTGATTTCGTCGCCAATACTTTTAGTGACAGGGCTTTGGCGACAAGTTGTGTATTTTGTCGCCGATTCTTTTGGCAACGAAATTTTTACTTTTGGCGACGAAATTTGTGGGTCGCCAAATGTGTTTTTTGTTGTAGTGAGCATATAGCCTCATGGTAAGCATGCTATTCATGGCAGTCACTCACACGCATGCAAGGATGCTAAAGCAAGAAAACTTACCGAGTACTCCAAGCCAAAACAGAAGCTGATTAGAGATCCATGCATTGATCCTTAAACTATACAGAAATGCCTAATGCAACACAGGCAAATGCAGACTATAGCAGGCTCGCTATTCTAAGACATGGCATACGAAATGCTTACAGCTAACAGATTCAACTTGAAATTGAAAATACAATGCAGTTAGTATGATGCGCCGAGCCCGGTGCATGCAAAACAGAATGTAGATGAATGCAACATCTATCTATTGTATGCTAATGAAACATGCCCTAATCTAACCATCATAAGCTAGTAAATAAAGGGAGAAAGACGTGGGTTGGAAGACAACATCACACACACGCACAAACTTGATTACAATATTGCCCGCGCGCAGAGGGTCCGAATAAAATTAATATACATCCCAAATGAATAATACAGCCTGAATAAGTACAAAAACCTAAATTAATTAACAAATTAAATTAGAAAAAGCAATAAATTGCTGCAAGC